TGAACATGTGTATGAGCAAAGCATTTTAATTGTTTTTTTAAATTTTTTCAGCTTATTCCATTTACTCCTGACCACTGTTTGCTGTTTTTCATGAAATTGTTACATGCCTGTGGCTGATGTGGGCTGTATGCAGCACTTACACTGCAAACAGTGATGAAAAATAAGTCAAGAATTGCCCAAATTTGGTAAAAATGTATCATAATTTTAGCACATTTTTGACTGCCTTAAAACAAGATTTGTCAAAGGAACAAAAAGATACAAGAAATGCCCCCCTTGGAATGAGAAATTAAAGCAACAGTTCTTGAATTAATACTAAATGGCTTTGTCCCTTTGACAATCTTGTTTTAAGACAGTCAGAATGTACTCAATTTAAGATGAAAAACCACTTGATTAAAACAATTATTTCCTCATATTTTATCAGCTTTTGGCAGGTTACTCGACTCAAATCAACATTAAACAGTCACGTAAATGTCTCAAGTCAAACGAGGTGATTCACATTCTGTCAAACCATTTTTTTTAGTCTAGTTTTAAGTCTATAATTTGTGAAGGAAAATGTCATTTCCTGCAGCTGACTTTGACTTCTCTTGAGGATGTTTTGATGGGGACGCTCTAGCACCATATTTGAATATATGCACATTTCTTTCGCTACCAGTCACTTTAATCATAAGCCAATGACAGCTCAAAAAACCGTCTGCTACTAAACAACACAGCACAAACTTCCTTTTATGTCATATCCCCAAAAAACACAATGCAACACCTGTCGAACATGCATTTCCGATTTAACCAGGCGAAGGCTTTCATATGGAAGAATATAGACAACGGGATAGTGGCTCGGACAGCAATGGCCCGTGGATGCCCTTTCTATTTCTGTGCTCTGACCAGCTGAGTAGAGGTCAATGCTCCTAAACCACTGGAACTAATGTTGGGGGGCCATCCATCTGTCTGCAGCCTGAGGGGCCCATATTGTGCTTCGAACCCTTGAGCAAGTTACACTCCAGACCTTTAAGGAGAGGGCATAGCTGACTTTTCCTGTCAACACCCGCTGCTAAATAGAGTTCTTACGTCGTTTCTTTGATGCCCTGTTGCGTGTTTATTTTCTTCCGAACCTGCCTGTGGAGAGTAAGATATTTTCGAAGGAGATGGAGTTCAGCAAAACACTCCAAAGCAAAAGTGACAGGGCGTGTTTTTTTCATTTGCCACAGCTGAACACACAAATAGCTAGTTAATAATGCACCATGAGGAGACGGCAGACTGTTTATGTGATGAATATTCAAGCACTGTAAAATTCTGTTATCACGGACGCACATGGGTAACCGCTCCACGACACGCAGACGCACAATTTTCATTACGTTTAAAAAGTTATTGCTAATTTAAGCTGTCATGAGGGCCTAGAAGAGGAGAGATGTATAGAATAGAGTTTGAAGCTGCAATTTCTGGAGAATATTGCGGCTGGCGTGATGACAGGAAGAGAGTGTTTAGGTCTCTGAGTCCAGCGCTTTTCGAACGCTATATATCACGTAGTGTAAATTCAGATTGACTTGCAATTTAATGGCTTTCGCTAACATATCAAAGAATAATTGATGTGTGAGGAGCAGATGGGCGGCCAGGTGGTGGACGAAAGATGGGTTGTTTTTAAGTAAAATGACTACAAAGCCACTATTTGTTGTTCCAAGTAGAAGGTGTTTTGAAAATGCCATTTGCACAAGCTTCGTGATGTGTACAGACAACCGATTGCGGCACCATGAGTCACCCTCTGTCAGTCCTGAAAAACATGCCATTAAGACTCCAGGTTTTGAGACTCTAAGTATAGGATAGACTCCTAATGTTCTTGTTACATTTTACGCTTGATCAAAAGATTAGCTCACTTTCAACGCTTCAAAAGTCTAACGGCGATTTTGCACACTGGGGATAGGATTTGGCTCAAATCTCAAAGGGTCACTTTACCCAGAGGACTTGAGAGCTTTTGTTACCAGATATCTCTAAGCTCACTCCCAAGATTTTGTGCTGCCTTTCAACAGCCTTCACACAAAATAAAGAATAAATGGACGTCTGAAAGAACGGAGCTCGGAAAGTAACCTTAATCGTCCAAGCCAAGCTAATAAAGACTGGGGAGCCCTGTCGAGATGTTTGAATTGGCCAATCACTCAAAGCAATCTACGGACCCCAGCACGCATGGTGGGATCCCTCGAAGGCCTCATCTGAGCGGACACGACCGCAAGCTACCTACAAAAAAAAAAAAAAAAAGGGCTTTGAACAGTGAGACAGTTTGGTAATTGTACTATAGTCTAGCCACATAACGCCCCACTGCACTTCCCTCCCTGCAGGAAATAGAGTTGTACGCGCAAGACGGTAATTAAAGTGTGGCTATGTGGGTTTGGCGCGAGCTATTTGATCTGGTTACTGGCTCCGTTTGGTTAAAAAGAGAAAGAGGAAGGGGGGTAGGTCCATGAGACAACAATGCAGCTGTTTGTGCTCAGGCCTCGGCTCATTCTGGTGGAGAGCACGGCAAACACATGGCCGCTGTCGACAGTCGTTCAGCGCGGTGAGGAGCGATGCTGTTGACCGATGGTGACAGAGATGACGGGCAATAGGAGCAGGGGGGAGTGGTGTCGCCTTACTGACCAAACAGTCTGACGAGATGGGGAGATGAGGAAGAGACGGCTCGCTGAAACGCAACGCCGGCTCCACAGGAAGGGGCCCGGACTTGTGAAAAGGAAAAAAAAAAGAGGACTGGAAGCATGGCATCCAGGATTATGAGATCGTCTTACTCAAACTGAGAGGTTCACAAGATCGCCCGGCTATTTATGCGGCGACATCCCATACTGTGGTGATTAGGGAGGGAGTCAGTCGCTGCCGAGATGTGACGGAAAAGAGCATCTAAAGTGGCAAGAGAATGCAATCTTGTGTCTATCTAACAGGTTTGATTGACAAGTTGGGTTTTTTTTTTTTCTATGATTGCAACTTCTCCAACCACAGTTCCTTTGTTAAAATATGCAAATCAACCGGATCACTACACAGTATCAGCCCAGTTTTTGGTATAGCCATATCAACCTTGTACTCAGCCGGATGTAAACGAGTTAACTGATGACAACTAATAGAACAATATCAAGCGTTGAAAAGTTCTACGTCATTTGTGAGTGCTATGATGAGTACATATCTCTGTTCTGATATATTTACTGACCCTCTTAAAATGCAATCCCCTAATTAGAAAAGGGGAGAGGAAAAAATCAGCAAAATGTACTTCGGAATCACTAATATGCTAACTGAGTTCTTGCTGTTTCTTAAACTTCCTGAACGTCTTGTCCCACAATCTAAATTAGGAAATTAATTGAGAGCCTTTATTGTCATCAGATGCAATAATACTGAATTGAGAAGACAAATGAGAGTGATGTCCCAACACCAACAAGGCATACAAGCCATCTCTGCGTTATCTTGCTTGATTCTAAGCACAGAAATCGTTAGAGACATATACAATATTTCTGTTAAAAGATGAAAAATTGTGCTAGCGCCTGAGTCAAATATAGCATAACACTATCACCTCTTCTGATCGTTTAACAAGTCTCCACAGTTCACAGCAGGAGACGAACTTTCTCATAGAACTGTGTCTTTGTGTGAATTATATATATGTCTTAGTAATAAGTCACTAAGGCAAAATACAATCTTGAAATCCACTCTCCATCGTGCAGTCCCAACAAAGCATCTGGGCTCGCTGAAGGAACACTTTCACAGATGCTGAATTCATATGCTGCTGCTTCATACTCACTGTTTACAAGCTTATAAAATAAAAAAAAAAACATAGCCCAACCCGGCAAAACCATGCTGTCACACGCAACAACAGCTTCCACTACTGAAAACATAAAATATCATGTAAACAAGTTTGCTATGCTTGTCATACATGTAGGAAACCCAGGTATATAGTGACAAGCTGCCTGTGGCAAAACTGGTAGCAATTTTGCAAGCTACACGTGTGATTTATGGCCACACCATCGCGTCTCATTTGTGGTGAGTCAGGCAAGAAGGAAAACTCATACTTAGGCAGTGTGTCTGTTCTCACAAGTAAATTAAGCAGCGGCAATGCTTTAGCCTTTAATTAGAAGCTGTAAAAAGAAATCAAACGCCCAGGCTACTTTGCTTTGTGTATCTTGGGATTTGAGGCTACTGTGAAATGCAAGGGAAGTATTGCTATATTATGTTATTATCTATGCTGTAGCACTTATCATTATGTAACACCCCACTACTCCAAAACAAAGCAACGTTCAAGTACAATTAGATGGAAATGGAACAACAGAGACTGGCCTTGCATTCAGCTTTAATCTTACAATGCATGAAACAGCAGCATGCATTTTTAAGCAATGGGAATCACAAAGCTCCCTCCAGCGTGGCTATACCTGTCACCCCAGGGGCATTTGCACATCCATAGCAGTGAGTGGGAAAGAATGGACCCTGCTGGTTGCTCTTCCTCAATGTGCAAGTGAGGATGTAGCCTATGTCGCACTAATGGGCCTAATAATAGAGATGAATGAGCAGTAGTGTTGCCATCACAAACATGGTTCATAGTGCGTGGGGCAAAGTCAGGGAAAAGGAAGGTCCCATGGGCAAGGCACATGCAGTCCAGACACATATGGAGCCTTTACTTTTAAGTGGTCTTTACATGACATCACCCAAGAAGGGGATTAGTCATTTAGGCTTAATGTCTGGGTCTATACCCCCCTTAGTTGTGGTACATCCAGCAAGCCACATGAGATTTAAAGGGGGGAATGAGAGGAAATGGGTTGACTGTCTGAATGGAAAAACGTTTAATAATAAGCTTGTTTTTTGGGGGGTTGGAAACGTCCATCCTGCTCCGTTAACCTAAACCCATTGAACACCCAGGGAGTTTGAGCAGGGAAGTCACTCACTCAAATGATCCACGCTCAAGCTTCATCTGTACAAACAAGCATGGCAGGAAGGTAGGAAGGAAGGAAGCGAGCGAGTCTCCAGCATCGCTCTGCAAAACTTACCATATGCCAAAGTTTGGAGCGCGCAAACACCCAGAAGGACAAGCAAGGCAGAACGGTACTCCATCATAACACAGTCCGATCGCTCATAAGGAGACGAGGCTGGCTACGTTCTTATCCGGAAAAAAAATCTGTCCCACGGGCTGACCAGCAGCGCAAGGGATAATATCCAAAAACTCAGAACAAATCACTGCATCAAACTCCGACTGCAGTGATCTCCCTGGGCAGCATAGTCCTTAGAATAAACACGCCAACATCCCTTTGGGTAACTTTTCCTCCAGAGGTCTAGTCCTGCTGGAAGGGACAAGCGACTGAGCGTGGATAGGGTCCCGGAGAAAGAGCGAGTCCTGTTTATCTTTCTTTTCACAGACACTGGAGACAGGGGGTGGTCACAGTGGCGTCTTTGTGGAGTAAATAAGTTCCAAAGTGCGTAAATGCGTAAGTAGTTTGTGTTCCTGTCCGTTATAGACGCGTTTTCATGTCTCCTTTCAGCGCGCTCTCCTCTCCGCAGCTGCGCTCTCCGCTACTGGCTCAGAGACGCGCTCCGGAGGCAGCAGCCACAGCCACAACACACACAGCAGAGAGACAAGGGATCCACACTGCGTTTCCTGTACGCCTTCAGCATAAAACACACACTTGTGACGAGTCAATGTTGCAGGGAACAACTATGGTCTTTATCAGCGAACCTATGAACCGTACTGTTGATAGGTTCAAACTTTTATTAGAAACATGTTCTATTAGTCTTTGTTGTAATTATGTTGTCTTGATAGATTCAATATGTTGAATACATAAATATGTAAATTTGTAATAACACAAAGAAAACTATGTCTAACTCTATTTATGTATATGTTAGGCTATTTATTGTGGTGTATACTATAAATATGATTGGATAGTGTTTCCTGATAAACCTTTTATTTTGAAGGGCTAAGTATGTCTCATGTGTCAGACCCATGGATGTACAGTATTATCGGTCAGACCCATAGACTGTAAGTCAGAAGAACCCAATATCAGTGTGCCCAAGCACGTATAGTTGTCCTACTTTTGTTCTATTAACCTATGTTATTTATTTATCTAGTTTTATAAATATGATGGAATAGTGTTTCCTCATCAATACTTTATTTTGAAGGGCCCAATATGTCTCATGTGTCAGACCCATGGATGTAGTAGAAGATCGGTCAGACTCATAGACAGTAAGTCATGAATGTTGTACCTCTCCACTCCTAAAGGCCCAGTCCTCTTCATGGATTGTTCTTACAAAGAGTTTAGCTACACTATAAAGCTGAGGGAGCATATGCTATGGTTTCATAAATAACACATGTGGTTTGTCCCAACAGAAACGGTCCTGTCAAAATCGATGTTTGATCACGACCACAACAGTTCACCTTCATCTTTTGAGAAAACATATATTTGGGTACTTGAAACAACCGCCATGGGACACGGGATTTTTGGCAATGTGGGTGAAGTGTCGTGCCTAAGAACACAACAACAGTTTGGCAATTTACAGCCGCAGCCGTCCGCACTCACCAGGCCTTGCCCTGTACAGCTTCAAAGATCTGACAGGATCGGGCTTTTGCATGTAAGTATGTCCACAAGTAGACCTCATGAACAAGATCACATTAGTAAGGCGCTTTGCTTTGTTTAGCCCTTCCCAGACTCAGAATGCCCCTGGCTACTACATTATATTAATTTGTATTTTTGAATGAAGTCTCAGTGTTCGACGCCCACATTTACCGTGCCACCGCTATCTGTGACAGATGAATGAATTATTTTGGCAGCAGTTTGAAACCACATGCAAATTTGTCCTACATGTGAGAGAGCTTTGATCGTGCAACTGCGATGCTATGTATACAAATCAGGCAATGGGAAAGAGTCTGCCACCATCACACACAAACAAACCCAGCAAAACCGTCACTACTTATCGATGCTCTGGCTCTCCCCGCTCCTGATGGAAAGAGAAAAGCAATATTACACATGCCAAAGAGATGCGGCCAACTGCAGCGGTGAGAGCTGATGGCCTAAGAGCCACAATCCTACGAAGAAGCAATAAGCCGTGATTGGCCAGAGTGCTGTTGAGCTGAATAAATATGAGGGGTCAGGCCCGTCTGGTAAACACACCGCTCTTGACATTTACAGAAAAGCATTGTGCGCTCTTCTAGAGAGGAGAGGTCTGACACAAACCAACAGCGCCTTGTCCCACAATAGAGACGCCGCCACAGTGCTAAATGTTAAATGCTAAGGTAACACCAACACTGATAAGGGCGCATTTAAACACTACCATATCTCTGCCATGTTTTATGCATGTACATGTTTAATTTAATTGGAGAAACGGATTAATTGAACAACGCTGTGTGATTGAATAAAACATGATGGGGCCCCGCGCTAAATGCATTTCCGCTCGCCTGTGACTGATGCCGCTATTTTGGTGCCTTCGTCAAACATTTGGCGGAACTGTCAGAGGAATCAAGCACTCCATGAATTTCCACTAATTATCCACATTAGGTAGTGAATTACAATGACAGCCCATCAGTGGCACAGGGCCTGGCGCAGCACACTGGCAGCTGAGCTATACATCATAGAATTATACCCACGCCGCACAATGGAGCGCGTTTTATGAGCTGATTTTAGCAATGCGTCTCGATCCTTTGTAAAGGCGTTTGCTTTCGGGAAATGTCAATGCTAAAAAGACTTCCTGGTATCACAATGAAGAGCCCGAATGGTTAAGGAGTGCAATTAAACGGAATGGTTTGTGCGCTCGTGGAGGTTTAATTTCTCTCACTAGGCGCATACAGACATGTTAGATTCAGGAGCTGGGCTTTCTAATGCACTGTGTGATTGTATAATAGATCACAAGGTCTCCTCTATAGCACTCTGGCGCAGGCTGGAGAGAGACAAGAGAGCAAGGATGTTCTCATTGTTGTAATTAATTAATAAACCCGCACCATTAGCTCAAAGTAGACGTGAAAAGGAAAATTCATCTCATGCATAATCCCTACCTCAACTTATTTGTTTAAAAAAGAGCTTATGAAATGAAAGATGATGCGTCATGCTTTTTGTCTACGGCAAAGTGACAATCTTTTTGTTATTTTATATTTTGACGTATTGAATCTAAATAGAAGAAAGGCCACCACCACTGAGTTCCAAGTTGACAGCCTCCATCCGTGGTGACAGCCCAGACGACGGACACACACTCACGCAGTAACAAGGAGTAAATTGTTATGTTTGTGCCAAAATCCCTACATGACATGACTGAATTCAATTGTATAGAATGAAACAAGCTTTATTTGTCCCAGAGGAGAAATTGCAATGTTGAACCAAACGTCACAGAGCAGTGGAAATAATGAGTCCTCAAGACAAGATAAAAATGCATTGTTTTTATAGCACTTTTCTGTCATTATTCTTTCACTCCATACACAACGGTGATAAACTACAACATTAGCCACAGCTGCCCTGGGACACTGACAGGAGCAAGGCAACCAATGTGTGACATCGGCCCCTCTGACCACTACTGACCATTCACACACACACACCAGACTCATTCTTGGCAATGTAGGAGGAGTGTCTTGCCTAAGGACACAGCAACAGTTTGTCTCCCATCACAGCACTAACCAGGCCCTGCCCTGCATGGCTTTAAAGGACTGATGGGATCTGGCTTTCGCATGTATGTATGGCCACAATATGGATGAATTGAAAGCTCTAAAAAATAAGATTAAATGCTGTGTACAAATACTTTGAATATGTCTGCTTAAAGCTGGGGTACCTCAATTTTTGTTTCATAAATAATCCATCTGTCCCAAGAGTAAGTCTTGTTTTAGTTTTACCTTTTGCCCTGTGAGTCAAAGAATCTGGAAGACAGAATGTGGGGAGCTGACTGGTTGACTGAGAGTGGTTCTCTCTTTTTAACTCTGAAAAAATTGATCTAAAGCCCAAGAAGTAAATGCATGTTAAAACTAGTGACAGAACATAATCTTTTGAGAGCTATAGGAATTGGTTTAATAAATACAGGATTCCATTATTGTGTTCAGAAAGAGTTTTTTTCTTGCCAATGCAGGAGGGTCCCAGGACAGTGGTGATGATCCAGGACACACAACATCCAACAACATTTATGGACATTGATCATCTGCCCCTTATGGACCAATGGCTCTATGTTTTTTATCACTGCATTTCTTGAGTGTGAAAAATGTGATTCTCTTTTCTGTTTTGGTGAATCAATGGTTTTGTAAGTTTTGATTAAGGGCTGAAGTAAGGAAAACATAGGTACACATTTGTCACTGGGTTGAAGTGAAGGATGGACCCAAAATGCAAGAACGCAACAAAATAAGGATTTAATGATAATGAATAAAAGTCCAGGGAGAAAAATCTAAACTAAACACAGGAAATGGGAACACAGACAAAGACAAGGACAATGAGCCAGCAAGAAATGGGGATGAGCCATAGACTGTAAATAGGCAACAATAGACACAGAGACACAGGCGGAACACATTAGGGCGGGGCAAACAATCAACACAGGAGCAGGGCAGGAAGTAAAACTAAAAACAATACCACAGAGAACTGAAGAGAAAAAAAAAAGATATAATAGTGCACTCTACAAGATTAGCCAAATTTAAAAAGTTATTTTTAAGTCCGGTTGCGGTGGTCGAGGGAAAATTGTGATAATGCGTAGCTATAGCTGTTTCATAGGTTCATCTATGTTATGCCTCATTAATACTGTTTTTACAAATGCCTCTGAAACCATCTAAAGTAAGTCATATTTATTCATATATAGCGTTTTCCACAGACCAAGGTCACCCACCGTGCTTTACAATTCTTGCTGCACCAGTATAATAATACCACAAATATCAATTTCATGATTTGAATAGTCCAAGTGTCCGCTAAATGAACTTTGAATATAAGCCGGTGAGTGCGTTGTGACTGTGATGTATAGCTGCTAGCCAGATTGCTTATTTTATTTGGACTGCCCCATCAAGCAATTCCATTATTCCCCACCATTTCGACGTGATTAAGTGCTTTCATAGAGAAGAAACGCAATGACAAATGCCCATTTTTTCCCCACTGAAATCAAGTCGGGATTGA